TATGCAAATTTTAATTTCAAAAAATTATATTTGTAAAAAATATAACAAAAACTAAACAGGATTAATTTGGTTTTGCTAAAAACCTTATTAACAAACATTGATATAAACATTATTATAAGTAGTAATGCAAACATAAAAACTTTATTTTGCTAAGAAAACTTGAAAATAAACAAAAGTGGTTTATTAACATTTGAAAAAATTTAAAAACTAACAAAATCGTGCACATTACAGACTTAAAAAATAATAAAATGTTTCTGGTTAGGAATTAAACAAAAAATAGCTACTTCTTTAAATTTTAAACCAAATAATAAAAAAAATTAAATATGGAGTGCATATAATACTTATATTATCTTCTTCCTGAGTTATTTCCTCGTTATTCTGGCCTCAATTTTCACATGAAATGGTTTTTATACCATTCAAAATTTGTATCACTTTCCCACTCTTTCTAGTAGAAAAACAACTCAAAATAATAAAATATCGATGGTGAATGGCTACAACACAGCAAGAAACAACGGGACGTTTGCTTACACTACTAATCACTAACCGATAATTCGGTAACACAAAAAGACAATATGGCGACAAGATGTATCATAACACGAAACCCCCATTGCCATCTAGTATTCTAAATATGTACAAATTTACTACGCAACATGATTTTTTGGATTTATTTATAAAAATTATTAATGTTAGCACGACACTAACTAAACATATTTTCAAAAAAAAAACTAGATATTAAATTTTGTAACCTGTAAAGAAGAAACAATTTTGAAAAGAAAATGTTTCTTCTTTAGTTAATTGAATATTCAAAATGTCGGGGAGAGTTTTTTGTTCCGTTTAAATTTACATTATTGTGAACAAATTTTTATTATTTTCAGTGGTTACAACTTACATAACGAAACAATTGAAAACAAAATGGGACACAAATTTGAAGACATCGGAGAAATAAAGAACGAATACATGCTTAATTGCGAGCCAGGAGAAATTCAAGCAAGCAAACTGGAAGAGGTACCTCCGTATGACAGTGAAAACGAAAACGCGTTAAATAGTGATCATGTGGGTGCTTCGGAACTCATATACTGTGAAGAAGCCTCCACGCTGGATCAGTTAAATGAGGAACCTTCCAAAGACAACTTGGAAGTCCAAATGTGGAAATGTGACACATGCAGTTACGAAACGAAACGTAAAAATCACCTAAAAGTGCATCAGTTATCACACAAAGACCCTTCAGAAATCCAAATGCACAAATGTGGTCTGTGCGCTTTCGAAACAAAATATAAACATTGTCTGAAATACCACCAGTTAACGCATAAAGATCCCTCGGAAATCCACATGTACAAGTGTCACATTTGTACCTTTGAAACTAAGCATAGGCACCGCCTGAGACGTCACCAGTTAACACACAAAGACCGTTCGGAAATCGAAATGTACAAATGTGATACTTGTGATTTTGAAACTAAGTACAAGGGACAAATCAAGGTGCATCAGTTGTTGCACAAAGACTCGTCGGAAATCCAAATGTACAAATGTAGCACTTGTACTTACGAGGCGAAAAGCGAGAGGTATCTGAAAGACCATCAGTTGACGCACAAAGACCCTTCGGAGGTCCGCATGTACAAGTGTGACACGTGCAGTTTTCAGACTAAACGTAAGAGCCACCTAAAAACGCACCAATTAATACACAAAGACACCTCAGAACTCCAGATGTACAAATGCAACACTTGCACGTACGAAACTAAATATAAGGGCACTCTAAAGTCCCATCAGTTAATCCACAAGGACCCTTCGGAAATCCAAATGTACAAGTGTGATATATGCAGTTTTGAGACGAGGTACAAGAAGGGTTTCAGCAATCACCAATTAACGCACGGGTGTCCTACCACATCTCAAAAGTCGGAATGCGATCCCTCGGTATATAACCGTTCCTTGGACATCCAGATATACAAATGTAACGATTGCGTGTACGAAACCAGGCATAAAGACAATTTGAGAGTTCACGTACTGAGGCACCAAGATCCCTCGAAAGTGCCGATGTACAAGTGTGACAAATGCGTTTTCCAAACAAAGCACAAACGGAGTATAACTAGGCACGAGTTGACACACAAAAACTCTGTAGTAGCGTAAGTTGCAAGCGATGGGGTGTTTGCCTAAAAAAAATGTGTAGTGTTATGTTCTATTCTACCCCCTTATCTTTTTCTGCCTTTTTATTTAGCAAAGTCACGATTGCTGTGAATTTTCCCATTTAAAAAAAAAAATTCTTGTTATAAAATGTGATTATAGTGCCTTCATCCTGTTCTAGAGAAAGAATATACAGGGTGTTCCCTTTTTAAATGTATTAACTTTAACAGTTGATAGGTAGTAAATTGCTTCCTAACTGAGATACAGGGTGTTAAATTTATTTTTTAACTTTTTTTTTATATATCCAAAAAACAGCAAGTTTAACGAAACCAAAGTGGGTATGTTTTGTGGCGACATAATGCTCTTTTAAAAAAGGCCTGCAGATGATTCACTATAACCAGCAGTGACCCGATAGATGGGTAGTCGGCAGTGGCGACTCTTGACTTCCATAATAGGGAGGGCGGAAAAATTTAGGTACAAAGTATTGAAAAAAATATCAAATATAATTGGGTAGTTTTATTTTAAGTCTATTTTTCTGCTTTTGTCCGAAATAAACTTTTCAATTACTTTCCATTAAAGTTTGGTATTTCTCGCACCACTGATTTTTTAATAGATAGCTTTGAAAGTGCCGTTAATCTTAATCTGTAATTTTATAACAGTTTTTCAATTAAAATTGATTAGTAATTTGAAAAATGTCATTAGATTCTAAAGAAACCCATAGGCGTAGAAATTGTTTAAAAAAGGTCATTTTTAAACCACAAAATATACTTAATTTAGTTTCGTTAGTACTTACGGTCTTTTAAATATGAAAAAAGTTTATATAATAAATAAATTCGACACCCTGTATCTCGGTTATGAAGCGATTTACGATGTGTGTTCATATGAACGTTTTTCTTCAAAATTAAACTCTCTATCAACTGTTAAAGTTAGAATGTTTAAAAAATGAACACCCTATATATTCTGAGAAAGGTTTTTTTTGTAATGCCCTTTTATCCACCCTATTGGTAATATTTTTCCTTTAAGGTAGATCATATAAATTATTAGATCGTTTGTTTACTTTTCCTTTTAGAATATTGCATTAGAAAAACTTATTATAAACAATGTCTTTTAGTGGGGTTATAGTCGACAGTACAGGCCTCCCCCTGGGAAGTTCATAACCATATACTTTATAACTCATGAGGAGCTTCGTTTTGACGAGTCTACTACACTTTTCCTCTGCGACTTTTCTCAGTCCCTCCGCTTTTCCACTCGGAAAAGTCCAAAAACATGGCAATTTCCCAGGGTCTTGAAAAGTCAAGACACATCTTTTTTTTTAGCTTAAGTTACTGAAAATTTTGTTGCAAATGCCGATTTAAATTTATCCGACAGAAATTCTACAGACATTGACCGGCTGAATATGCCAAAATGACAGGGTATTGAAAATCAATTACCACATAGGTAATTTTTAGTAAAATTAATTGTAAATAACTAATTCAGTCTAAAAGTATTGTCCGACTAATTTCAAGCCGCGTTTTTTCAGTCCGACAGCTGGAAATCGGAATTTTCACGGGGTATGAAAAATCGATTACCACAAATCTAATTTTCATTTTTTCCACTTTTAAATTTACTGTACAAAATAGTGATATAAGTGTGACGATTTAATGTCCGCAAATTATTAAAAAATCAATAAATCTATAAAAATCCTTTTTTCTTTTTCGTCTTCATTTGCGTTTGTTATTTTTCTTTACAAAATTTTTTCCTATTTTTCTAAAAGAAAATCCCAAAACATTTGTGCATAATTTTTTTTTAAACCATACATACTTTTTTTAAATCGTTTAATTCTTTTCTTGATATTTATTTGGCTAAATTGAGCATAAGACATTTACAATTACAAGAATAAAACGAAAAATATATTTATATGGAATTTTGCTTAATACATGAAAATACCTTATTAGAAATTATAAATACATGTGCACATTTTTTACGAAATTTATGGAATTTTGCTTAATACA